TATAATATAATTTTTCAATTTTATTAAATAAATAAATAATTGAAATAAAATTTATATATATTATTTTTTAAAAGTAAATAAATTGACAAATCATCCATTGCAATCCTCCCATTTGGAGGGATGGAAAATAGAGGAGTAAAGGAGGCTCCATCTCTTTTCTCTCCTATTAAAAAATTAATCCAAACAAGAGAATGAGGCATATCCTCTCACTCTCCTCTTCTTGTCCTTCAAATCTCCCAATTCAAACACGTTGTAAAAGTTGAGCATGCCTTTCATTGTGAAACCTGCTGAAATATATGAATTACTTGAGATTATGATTTATGTCTATTTTAAGTATAACACACATCTCCTAGATACCCTTAGGAAAACTATTTTAAGAAAAATATCAATATATAATCTTAAGAAAATGTCAAAATACACAAAGTTATAAAATAAGTTAGGCTAAGCTCATTTATAATTAATTTAAATATTATATACATAAAAATAATTTACACAAAACTTATATGAGGTAAATTCTTCTCCAAAGCTTTTCAAAATAACAAAAGTTGAATCATCATTTTGGTAACACATTGATTTGTCTTCATATCAAAAGCACGAGGTCCTAACTTCTACATACAATGAGCATATGGGACCTCTACCGAAACTCCGAAGCTAGTGACTGCCACTCCAGTCTACAAATCTGAAATTAAGGGAATATCATGAGCTAAAAACTTAGTAAGTATTAGGTTTAAATTACAAACTTAGGTCCTAAAACCCTTAGACCTATACACATGGAGAGCCCAATAAACAATTAAACTAAGCCCCATAATATTATAATTCTTAGTATTTAAATAATAATTTAATAATCCAAATCAAAATCACACATGTTAAGGAATAACTTGTGACAGTTAAACCAAATTCATATCATAAAATCATATGCTCACAAACATAATGCATAAAACAAAAATCACACAATGCTATGGAGTCTATTGATGTGTGCTAGTAACACTTGTATTGGACTTAATCACGATACTCACTCTACTGCGCAGAAGTCCATTAAATACCCCAAAAGATCTACTGAATACCCCAAAGGATCCATTGAATACCCCAAAGGATCCATTGAATACCCCCAAGTTTAAGGTTAGGTCCACTTACTCCATTCCCACAAACACATACAAATGTTGAATAATTTCAAAACACTGTCAAAATAATATGCAAATATTATTTCATTTGGTATCTCACTTAATTAATTGCATATCCAACACAATCCACTTCAAATTTCTCATGTTTAATGGTAAATGTTACTAAAACAAAAATTGAAATTGATTCCTTAATTTAACAGTGAAATTAACACATAATTAATCAATTAAAACCCAAATACACAAGTCACGGGCAGCACCTCTTATGAAACTTCCAAAAAGTCTCACCACAAATGTATAGGAAAATATCAAAATAACACTAGCAAGTAATCAACTAATAAAAATTCATATCGAATTTCAACATCAACCAAAATCCACTTTTGGCTCTATATTGCACCAGTACCCAAAGTCTCAAATTTTGCTAAACAAAAATTGTAATACTCAAAAATCTCTTAAACAAAAAATTTACAGTCATATTTTACCACTTAAACTAATTTTTGTGTATATTATAGCAAAATCCATAATTTCCCTCAAAGTTCTAGCCCAAATTAATAGCTAAACTTATACTTACTTGAAAATCAAGCACCTTATTCAAAAAGACAGTAGAAATTGAAAGGAATTCCAAGTGGAGAGTGCGCCCCTACACCTCAATCTTGGCTAGAAAAAGAAGGAAGAAAGATACATGGGACAACTAGAAGAAGGAAAAAAAAAAAAGCAGAGGAATGGTGGGTTCAAGAGGGTTTTGGGGACTTATCTTAAGTCTAGTTGAATGGATCTTGGTGAGTATAATGCCATGTGGCAAAAAAAATTGAAATAATTGAGTTAAGGTCCTTCAATTCTTACTAAGTTCTAGTTAAAACCCCCAAACTTCAAATTCACTCAATTTAATCCTTAAAACTATAAAATAAAGGACTCTAATTTTTAAGGCGAAATACCCAAATCCACCCCCAAATATAGTGGCAGGGACGGATTTACCCCCAAACAAAGAAGGAGACAAATCCACCTACAAAGTTTTCGACTTGGACAAATAACCCATTATTTGACAGGCCACATCAGTTGCCATCATCTTCCCATTAATGGCGTGCTTGCTCAAACATTTTAAACACGATGGAGGTTTTCTTGCCTATGTGGATGCTGAACTAGCCCATTCTCACCCATTTTAATCCTATGTGGCGATTTTTCTCCCCTTTCCATTACATGTCAACTGAGCCCCACCTATAAAATTCCATAAAACCCTTAAACAACTAAAACCTAATTTTATCTATTTGATTGAAGATTAAAAATGGAAATGAAAAGCCTTATAAGCCTGTAAACTTATAAACCCTGTAAACGAAAACCAATCCCATGATTCTCCAATCTCAAGTCTCTCTACGGCAATACCTAGAGAATCTCTTGATCGATAGTTGGAGGGGATACGACATTGCTTGGCGAATCTCAAGACTGAAATCAAAACAAGAAATTGAGTTAGCAAGATAAAGGGCTTCGTTGATCAAAACAAAGGGGCAGTAAGTATTGCTTTTGCTCTTTTAGTGTCTTTTTTCTGTATAGAAAGTTGTGGGTGGGTTAAGGGTTTTATAAAGTGCTTACATTTTGTAGGTTTGACAGTGGGTTTGGGATGGGTAGTATAATAATGTTGATGTTAATTTGTGGGCCACTAAAAAAGGTAATGCTTTTTTTTTTGTTATTTTTTATTGAACAGCATGGCGGATGAATTCTGAGGAGTGTTGTGTTTTTTCCATGGTGGGACATTTGTTCAAAGACCACTAATGGAGTATAAAGCTGCTCAATGTACAACATTACCCTTTGATTGTGATAGGTTAAATGCTGGTGTTATCATGGATACAATTGTTAGTTTTGGCTATGAAGACGTTATGACTAAGAATGTGTATTACACAACAATTGGAGGAAGTTTTATGAAATTGAAGTGTTTGGCCGGTGATGACAGTATTAGGGACATTTTGCACATAGTGCGTGCTGAGGTTTGTGTTGATATATGTAACACCCTATATACTTTAATGAATAAATTAAAAATTAGAGTCTTTTATTTTAACATTTTAAGGACTAAATTGATTAAATTTAGAATATGTGGACTTCATGTGAAATTTTGAGATAGTTAGTGATGGGAATCAAGACGACAGCATATCTACCACGTCATGTGATCCATTACACACCCAAGGATCTCGCAATTCTGTCGCAATTTGTAACAAACTGATATTTCATGTTACTTTAGGCTACTTTTAGTGATTTTCACGTTTTTTATATTATTTTGGGCTGAACATTCATTTATTTA